GAGAAAAAACCAAACCCAAAGTTGTAGTTCTAGAAGGAATCTGTAAATTTACAACTAACAAATTTTTTATTTGAAATAATTTAGTGGCCGAAAATTCTACATTAAGTTTTTAGATTTTGAAATTTATTTTTTATTTTTCAATGTACCTCGGATTGAGAAATGACCTAAATCAAAATTGTAGTACTCAAATACATATAAAACTTTTGAGTTGAGTACCTTTTCATTTAAAATCATTTAGGACCCAGATTCTATTTTAAGTTTAATAATTCTGAAATTCTTTTTTTTGAATTTTTCAAATAATCACGGATAGAGAAATGACATAAACCAAAGTTGTAGTACTTGAATAGATCTAAAACTTTACTATTCAAACTTTTAAATCTGATTTTATTTAGGGTCTCAAATATGCATTAAAATATTCACTAAAGTAAATACAAATGAAATGTATTAGCCACTTAGTCGTAACTCATAATGACTTTGAGGCGCACTGGTGAGGAAGTAACACACGACCCATGAGGTGAAGAATATATTTGAGCCCCCACGATTGTAAGTCACAAGTCAATCTTCTCTCATGTTAGAACAATTTTTTTTCACTCGATTGCAAATTCTAGAAAACAATTTACAGAGGGGGTTGCGTTTCAACCCGGCTCTAGAGATCGATTTCTAGATGTGACTAAATACCTACCCCTGAAAATCTAGAAATCGTTAGTTTCCAAAAAAATCTAGAAATCGTTAGTTTCTAGAGACAGGCAAGTAGTCTATAGCCACTTCTAAAAAGCCTGTCGTAATATCAGTATAATATCTTTTTTCTTGTCTCTTCCTTTTCTTTTTTTAGTTCATTCATATCAACACGTTGAATTGGAAAAAAAAAGATTTATATAAATGCGCGCTAGAGGACAGAAATTTTCATCTATATTTTCTTCATTTACTGAAAATTTGCATGCTCAATACGAATACTTCTTTGCACCTAGCAGCTAATATGAATTTGATACCACCACCTTATTTATTTCCAGTCCATATGACCCATACCTATCATTAAATATTACATGTTCATGTCATCCTTCAATTTGACATATTTCAGCATTGTTTTTCATGTGCCTCACTCTTTGGTCGGAGTTTTGTCCATCCATGTTTATGTTGATATGCCTTTTTATTACATGTTTCCGCCATACCACCCTTGAATGCTTTTCATGCATCTCTAATCTGTGTTACGATTGGCAGCTAGTACTAGTGTACTATTTCAGATAAAAATTGACCGGCCTTGTTTTTCTGAATGTTCTCAAGTTAGCATTAGGGTACTCCTAACCAAAAAATTAAGATGGTTTTCTATATATATTCATGAATTAAGGTGTCAACTAAGCAAAATAATAATATGGTATTAAAATTAAATTAAAGAGAGAAGGAAATTGTTTCTGAAATAAGAAACTATGTCTATACAGGAACTAAGATATGAAGAAATGTGCTAGGCAGATGATGAAAAGAGAAGACATCTGATAGAACAAAAAATTATTTTGAATAAACTATCTATTTAAAATATAATTTCTATGTATAGTGCATACGTGATTTGGCAAGCACTATCACAAATATAGGAAACATTGTTGGTTGGTAAGCCAATATCACTACCGGAAGCCGGCAATAGACAAGCAGCAGTGACGCCCAAAACTTTCCATTGCCCGTCTCCCACCCGACAGCAATACCAGTTTCCAAAAAAAAAAAAATCCTACACAGCCACCGTCATGGCCACGAGCCTGCCCCATGCAACAGTTGCTGCCGCCACGAGCCCCGCACAGAGGAAGGGGAAGATCCAATGCTTTCTACTTCTCTGATTATTATTACTACTCATTTCTATTCAGAGCTTAAACCAATGTGACCCTAGTAACAAGCAGACACACAAATTTATGAAATGTTTTTTAAAGATCCAGTGATGACGGCTTATATATTAATAAGTAGGGAGAAAATACATGCTGCATGAGCCAGAGGCGATACAACTAGAAGCCTTGCTCGTCAAGGATTACTAACCAAGGTGTGAAAAGTTAGGGATTACTCACAACTAAAGAGGCAACAATAAGAAGCAGGAGAAAAAAGAATTACATCCGTATCACTGCTTTTCTTCTCCATCTTTTGCTCCAGCCAACATAGTTGTTGCATTCTTGGATGAGCCATTTCGCACACTAGCTAGAGCCGCTAGCTAGGGCTGCAGTCACACTTGGTGGAGGTACCCGCCCCATTGTACCTTGCCAAGTACAACTTAATAGTCTCATCTCCAGTTGGTTCGGTTAAGGGCCCCAAGGTCAAACATTTCTATCTGTTGGGCTATACAGTGTTCTACCCTTCGCGACACTAGCACAACTGAAGGCTTGGCTACCAATCGTGTGATGTGTCGTTGTGCGGATAGTGTCCTCTAGTAGAGTTCTCCGACGATGGCCGCCTTTTGTCGTTGTGGTCGAGACCAGCAACGGAGGGTCAACCGAACTTCTATTAATGGAATTCTCCTCCATGAGAGGTGCCTGAGCATGTGTCGTGTTGCTGATCCCCTCATCTGGGGGCACAGACAAGGCCACACACTCTCTTCTTCCACATCATGAGCATCGTCAAGCATGCCAATAGCTGGATGGGACTCAATCAATGGCACGCTTGTCTCAATGGAGTGGACTCTGTTTGGTTCCACTCAGCCTTGGTAGTACTCGTGACCAAGGTAGGCCTCCATGATCATAGGGTCATGAGAAACTAACCTTACCATTCCCTCTAGCAGTGGAGGCAGCAACACGAGCCAATCCATGGAATCCATCAACAAGTCATAGCTCATCGCCGAAGGAGGCCCAAGTTCCTCTCGATGCAGGATTGCAGGTTGCTAGAGTGTGCACCCGCACAAGATCCTCATCTGCACATGGGACATGTCCGTGGCCATGCTCGCCATGGCAAGAAGGAGAGTGGTATCTTGCGCTTCGGTAGCGTCCTCTTTGGCCATATCCCAGGAGGGCAGCGCGATAATAATTACAACATGGCAAAGCATCGGTAGCGGCATGGAGACGCCAGACTTCTTGTTTGTGGCCCTCATGAAGATGCACGCTCTCTTGAGCATAAGGCTGCTTGGAAGTCGCAACGAACGGTAGGAAGTCATCGGGGAAGTAGAGCCGCTCGTATACAGACCGGCGAGCAGGTGAGTTGTGCGACCTATGTGGCCAGCGACTATTGAGGCAGTGTCGTGATGGGAAGTGCTTGGAGAAGTGCCCATTGCAATTGCAGCGCCAGCACCTCATAGGATTGCAACAAGATGCGACCTTGTGGTCCCTCACGAGGCACTGGAAGGATCGCCCTTGGAAGCGGCTGGGGAAGTTGACGCGACGGTCAACCATGGTTTGTGGAATCTTCCTTGGTGCCTCAGCAACATTGTGTGGGGTCCTTGACCATCGTAGCTCTGGCTGCTACCATGGCAGGATGTCCTACCACCCCTGTGCGATCAGCGACGTGAAGCGTGGTGACGAGACTCCCTGTGCCTGAGCCGTTAGTGTCTAGGGACACATTGTGGCAGCGGGCGGTTTTCACATCCCTCGTGGGAAAGGCCATCGACTAACTGAGGTTGTTGGCAAATTCTTGCGTTGATGGCGACACTTGCGCTGCAAGTGGGGCAGCCTTCCCAGCCATAGACCAGCCTCCAAAGACCCTCTACAGGTGGGCCCCAGTGTCAGGCCACACAAGGATGGACTTAAGCGAGGGCCACGGTGAATCTACCATGCATCATCAATATATGCTAACTTCGATGCACCGATGGAGGGGAACCAGTTGGCCGGGGCGGTCGCCGGAGACATGTCGGGGGAGGATTCCCTGTCATAGAGGAGGTCATCGTCATCGTAATCGGCCCACCAGTGGAGCTTGGATCCCCTACTGAGCTGCCTCCCGGTTGGAAGGGTTGGATGGGAGGAAGAAGGCCGGCTTCACCTGTAGCGCGGGGAGGCATAGAGGTAGACCCGGCCGGGAGGCGTGGTGGTGTCCATTGGTGAGGTGTTGTAGGGTAGGGGCTAGGAGATCTCTATCCATCTTCCCTGAAAGACCCCCCGAGATGAGCTTCTCGAAAATCGTTGATCCAAGGCGAAGCCAGCAGGGTACGCTCCATGCGCCCGATGGGCTGTGGATCCATCCACAGACCACCTCTGGCGGCAGACGGGCTGGCTCGACGTACGGACGGCGTGGTCACAATGGTTGGGCTACCGCACAACTAGATCTCATGGATATGGAGAGGGATGGAGGGCTAGTATGGAGGGGTGAGGGAGGGAGTAAGGTAGGCACCTACTGAGGCTGAGCCGGCCTTCCATCAAGGCTCACCAGCGCGGATGGCGGGTGACGTCGTAGTTATTGCCATCTGCATCCGCTCAGGGGTTAGATGGTGTGGGAAGTATTTACCACCAATTAATTAGGTAAAGCATTTCATAAACAAGGAGAAAAGAATGAGACCAGAAAGGCCTCACCCTGCACAAAACTTTGTGGAAAGGTTCTTGGTTCAGTTTCCTTCAAACCTATAAGAGTCGCTTTAGTGGTGCAACAAGTGTCCCTTAAAACCCATTAATATAGTAGGATGTTAAATTGTTCAACATAGGTCTTTCATATGATTAAATTTGATGAGGCTCTCAGTAGATTTGTCCTTTCTACATACCCCTATTAAATGGCATGTTAAATTGTTCGGCATATATATCTTTCGTATAATTAAATTGATGTGTGATAAGAAACTAACACATTCCCTTTCATTTAGGAAAACGTACACAAACTAAACAAAGGATGCATAAATTCTATAGGGATTGTTATTCTTATGAAGTACAATTCTTTGGTTTCTGATGCACATAATCATGGATATCATAACTAATCATCTGCTTGAGGAATGTTACTACTGCTACTAATACGAAACATTCATCCTCCAGCCACTATACCCAGTGATTAGTATGGACTTATTGCAGAGTTACATAACATGATCAGTTCCAAACCCTAACACCAACACCCCCCGATCCGGTCTAAAAGAACTCGCACGGGTCGCCCAACGGCACACTGACGAGCCCCGTGTCGCCATGCCCCACGCCGTCGTCGAGCAGCCAGCTCTCCAGCATTGAGAACGATGGCCCCGGCCCCGCGGTGCCCGCATCCTCCGCCTTGATCGTCCTGGTGGACCTCTCTGGCGTGCGCACTGTGCCGCTGTTGCTCGCCGACGCGCCCTCATCTCCGGAGAACGCCGACACGGAGGAGGCCGAGGACCTCGACCCGGACGACACCTTTCCAGCGGCGCCGGAGCCGCCGGGGTGCATCCATCCCTCCAGCAGGCGCGCGATGTTATCGGCGCTGGAAGCGTATGTCGCCTGGCTAGCTGGCGCGGCCGGCGCTTGCGGCAGTTGCTCCGGCTTGGCGGACGGAGGCACGGGGTCCAGGGACAGTGCCTCCCGGAGTGCCTGGCGCGCGGTGTGGATGTCCGTCTGCAGCCGCCGCTCCCACTGCCCCTTGGGTGCGGCCAATCTGCCGCTCTTCGCCTCGGCGCCAGCGCCAGTCTTAGTGAACTTCTTCTTGAGGTGAGTGTTCCAGTAGTTCTTGATGTCGTTGTCTGTCCGCTCTGGCATGTACGACGCGATCGCGGCCCACCTGATCGTGCAAAATCACAGTCGATCGTTAGGGGCTCCGCTGAGGAATTACATAGGAGATAGGACTAGGAGCATGCGGGAACGAAGGACTAGTCGATCTTGAAGTGGAATTACCTGTTCCCTAGCAGCGCCTGGAGGTGGATGATGAGCTTCTCTTCCTGGTCGCTGAAGTTGCCGCGCTTGATGCCCGGGCGGAGGTAGTTGGTCCACCGGAGCCGGCAGCTCTTGCTGCAGCGCATCAGGCCTTGGTACATGGTCCATGAACAAGAACAGCCGCCGAAACGATTCAAGGAATTGCACGACATAAAACAACAGCCACCTACTCGGCTACTCTAGAAAGAAACAAAGACAAACTCCGGCAGGGCAGGGTGGTACCGTACCGGTGCTGGTAGGCACGGCGCGCCAGTTCCCGGGGCCGTGGTCCTGCACATAGGAGACGAGCACGAGGTCCTCCTCCGGCGTCCAGGGCCCCTTCTTCACCCCACCCTTTTCGCAGCACGGTGGCCTCCCCATGCCTTTCCCGACGCTCCTCAGCGGTTCTAGCCGGCCGGCCGGCCGGCGTCTGCGTGAGTGGCGCTAACTTGGCCAGAAAGGACGAGGACCTTTGACCCCTGGCTCTGCTTCGGCTTGCTTCTCCCTTCCTCTCACTTTCCCGGGAGGCCTAACTAACTGGTGGTGTTTATATAACCGCCCCACGCAGGCATGGCCTTCACGTGGCAGTGAGGGCAACAAGGACACATAAGAAATGTAACACTCCAGTGCAAAATATAACTACCGGATACGATGGTGCTTAAGTGCAATGTCAAGGTCTATGCCCGAGGCCCCTCAGTTGTCGCCATCACGGAGAAAAAAATTAGGTTAAGACTTAAGAGTCCTATTTGTCATAGCAGCGATGGAACCGTGGAGTGCATAGTCACCACTCTCCCCGTACGTACTGATGGATAAGGGGCACTCCGCGGCACAGCAATTCTGTTGCCCATTAAACTCCAGTGCCTTTCCGCGCCATGTCTTGTCGACCTCGGCACATCTTGCGCCGTCGTTGTGTTGGCAGTCATGCGGAAAATGCGCCATGTTTCTGCGCCATATGCATGTCCATGTGTATAGATATATGACTGTTTACTGTATATTATATCCATTTCTATATCCTCCTAAAATCTACAAGTACTCTTTTCCGAAGAATTAGAAAACTACAGCTCTGAAATTTTTATGGATACATGAGTACTTTGTAATAGACGTCCTTTATTTTTTATTATAATAAGGCTTAGCTTCTTTCTTATCTTAAAAACAAAATATATGGTGTACCAACCGTGATCTCACGTTAGCCAAATGGTAGTCCCAAGTATGATAAAAAAATGGTAGTCCAAAGTGTTAGAAGGTTTGGATCATCTAGTAGTGGATCTAGTGGATGAGTTCTTTTCTAATTGAATCACATAAACCTAGAATTTGCTTCGGGAGTAGGAGACACAGAGAGAGAGAGGGAGATGTAGGAGCATCTGACCGTCAGAGGAGCTTCCTGCCTTCGCTGGTTCGTCGGTGAAGATCTACGCACGGGCAGCGACGTTTGGTGTAGCTGTGGAGACCGGCGGTGGTGGAGGCAGTGGTGCTTCCCGCCGCTGGCAGTGCCACCCTCTGGATCGGATTAGGGTTAGGATAGTGGGGCTGTGGCGGCGGTGAACCTCGTATCCCGAGCCATTTACCCCACCTCCTCTTTATAGGCACTGTGCGACGGGGGCCCACCAGCCACTAGATGGCTGGACGTCCCCGATCAGGACGCGGTCAAGGAGTCCGTCTCGACCGTTGGGTCAAGACGGATGAGATCAATTCTAACATTCTCCCCCCTTGATCTCAACTCATACTTTAACTTTAAACTTTGACTTTAATCCCTTTCACTTTTATTTGTTCCATCACGGATTAGTGCATAGAGTATGCTTCATCGTCACGGTCAATCGCCGATAGACTTAACAGCTATAATACACGTCTCTGTTCTGAAATAGATTCTTTAACTTTTGGGCCCTTTATTGTTCGGAAATCATAGGCTATACCATAAACCCATGTTGACTGTGTGTTTTCCAAACACACTGGGTGGTAAGCCTTTTGTACGCGGATCCGCAAGCACTTGCTTGTTACTTTTATGTTCAATACTTTCAGTATGATTCCGGACTTTCTCCTTCATAACGTATAACTTTAATGTCAATGTGTTTGGCAGCACACTTGACCCGTTGTTATAGGAGCGAACTTCTTAAATGGTTATTGTTGTTGTATACCATTATCAATTCCGGGTGTAAGTTCTTTTAACCATTTCGCCTGTCCTTAAGCCTCATAACAAGCTATACCATGGGTATGCATCTTTGATGACACCACAACTGTTTCTTTGGAGCTTTTCCACAATAAAACTCCAACTGCGAGTGTTAGCTACTATGTGGGTTTCACTAAATATCTCGTCAAAATTTAACTTTTGTACCCACAACTATTTTAGAGTACTTATTCTTTCTTACTCACCATGAGGCCTATAAATCTTTGCACAATTGCAAAACATTCTCAACTCTATTCCAGCGATCTATATCTGGACTGGACTTCTGCCAAAAACATCCCGGATACATAAACTGTGTCAGGGTAAGTTCTTGCTTATAAGCATTCAGTAAGCTTCCAACAGCTGAAGCATATAGGACGTCCATTTGATCGATCTCACATTTGTTCTTAGAACACTGAAAGTTCCAAAAACTATTACCCTTGACTATAGGAACAGGCACAGGTTTATTCACATATATACTTTATTTCTTTAGAATCTTCTCTAAGTATACACTTGAGATAGTTCTAATACCCCTTTTTCCTTTTATCTCGGTAAGTTCCAATTCCTGGAACGAATGATGCTATACCAAGATCATTCTCATTGAAACTTGAGGACAAGAATTGTTTCTTCTCCGACAGTAGATTAACACCACTACTAGCGAGTAAGGTGCTACCCACATGCAGGATCAGGAAAATAAATTTCCCATGTTTAAACTTTGCATAAATACAATTGTCCTCTACATTCTCTTTAAAACCCAAACTTTCTTATTATACTGTCAAACTTTAAGAACCACTGTCTTGAAGCTTGCTTTAATCCATAAATGGATTTCTTTAGGCAACATCCCTTTACTTTCTTTTTCTTCCACGACAAAACCTTTTGAGTTATGCCATGTAAACTTTTCCATACAAATCCCCGTTGAGGAATGTGTCTTTACATCCTTCTGATGTAACTGTAAATCGTAATGTGCCACTAACACCATTATGATTCTAAAAGAATCCTTGCATGCTCATTATAATCTATTCCTTCTCTTTGTGTAAATCATTTCGCCACAAGTGGCGCTTTATAGCTTTCCATATTCCCTTTGGAGTCACATTTGTCTTGTAGACCCATAGACCCATTACAGCCTATTGTTTTGGCTCCATTAGGAATTTCTTCTAAGTCCCAAACATCGTTGATATTTATCGATTTCATTTCATCTTCCTTTGCTTCTTGCCATTTAGACGAGTGAACGCCTCTCATGGCTTTTTCAAATGAGGTGGAATTACCCTCCATCTAAATTTCTTTCTTAACATTGACTTCTTAGTCACCAGAAATATCTGATTTTCTTATTCTTTGAGACCTTCTGGGGCCTCGTGGCACTTCTTTCATATGGGGCTATTGTTACTCTTCATTGCCAAAAGGCAACTATTCTATAGCCTCCTGTATCACAAGATCCTTATTTACTTATTCATCTTCTTTAAGAGCTAACATCAGGTGTTGTATATGTCATACAACATCAACATGTATTAAGCAATTTGTTGCTCTAAAACACTATAGTGGATATGTAATCCCACTTCTATTCAAGCCTTAGGTATCTACATACCATGCTCCCCTAGATTACTCCATCTTCTTCAAAGATGGTGTATCTTCAAATTTCTTATTTTGGGTTTAATCTGTCAAAACTCGAATGGTGCTTTAAGCACCGCCTTGATAACTCTGAACTCGTCCAGTATGAATACTAGCCGACTATGCTATCTTCCTATTGGAACTGTAAAAAGGTCCAAGAATTTAGCTATTTCTTTACTTTAGGGGTATCGTTATTATGACCGTCTTACTCCCTCAACGATCACATTCTTGTTTTATAGATCACTTTTACCTTCAATGCATAGTATGCATTGCATTATCTGAAGTATGGGGAAGTATCTTTCTTAATTGTCTTTCTTAATTAATCTTACATTTCTCCCCCTCGAAATGTGGTATGAACTTTTCTACCACAATTTCGAAACATTCAGAACTCTTGTGAATGAGGAAACTTTGATTACTTACTTCATCCACATGATTACATTATGCAAACAAAATTCATATGGGAGTACATTTTCCTCATTACACTTCAAAACTCAACATAGTCTATTATTATCAATACTTCTGCAAGTTATGCTTGCGTATCATTCTTATCTTTTGGTTCACATGCAACTTTCTTTTGTTCTTAAACTCATTGAGTACTTAATGACCATGACACAATCATAGTGTACGGTCAATACTAGGATAGCATAAGAGCTACCCCAAACTTCTCTCTATGTGCGGGATACGCTTAGATCACATGAGTCATCACATTCTTCTTCCGCCATGCGGGATAAGTACTATGCCAACTTTACCCCGCCATGTGGGTATTTTCTCAAACTTTTCCCGTCATGCGGGTACTTTCACAAACTTTTACCGTCATGCGAGATAATTCCCTTAAACGGACATAAATGCCAGGATTGGCTCATGTTCAATCATCAAATTCAGAAATAAATCTGAATATTCTTTTAACACACATGTTTAATCCAATGTTGGTCAAATTAAACATATATATGACTTTTATAACTCTCATAAGTGAAACTAAAAATAAATTCTTCTTCACAGAGAGTACATAAAAGACATTTCTCAATGAAAACTCTCATTTATCTATCTCTTTTCTTGGATCAATATCCTAGAATTTTTTTCTTTTGAAGCCATTCTTTAAAGAGAACACAGTCCCTTAAACAATGGCATTCTTTCATACATAACTTGCCCTTAGGCATTTCATCATCTGAGTCACAAGTACTCAACTCATTTCTCTTACTGCCTTCAAGAATGAAAGCATGGAGGTCTTTTGTCTAAAAAATATTCAACAATAATGCTCATTAAACTTTGAAATCTTTATGTTCTATTCTATATCACCGTTGGACAGAAATAGAATAAAACATCATTCTTCTACATTAATTTCACATCACCGTTGGGCAGAAATGGAATTAACGTATAGAAATTCAATAATCTTGAAAACATAGAACTGCTCCTCAGAATTAAATTCTCCCGTTGGTTCGAATTTAATTAGAAGACAATCAACTTCATTGCAGCGGAAACATGAAAATACATTTCTCTAGTTTAAGAGCATTCCTTGATCTTTATATTTTCTCTGGAAAAAATTGGTCACTTTGATGCAAAATTCATCAGAGATTTAAACTTTAAACATAGAACTCATAGAATTATAATATTGCTATCA